TCACAGTTCCAAAGATCAACAGTCTCCCAGCGCAACTAGAAGGCAAAGACAAACAGGACTATTCAATAAAAGGTGAAGGGTTTGGAGAAGACGGGAGAAGTAAACAATCCAGGACAACATATCTGATTTGGAAAAATTCTCCAATTCAGCTCACTTTCCAGTTTCGCTATGTTGTCCTAGATTGTTCACTTCTCCTGCCTTCTCCAAACTCTTCACCCTTCAGTGAATAGCCCTGATAGTGTTGTCACCCTACTAAGAAGTTCCACAGTGATGCACCTCCATGGCGTGTATCCATGACAGCCTGGGCTCAGAGGAAATTGGTTTAATTACTTCATTAGACCCAAAAGAGGGCTGGTGTTGGGCCTTGGATGTTGAGTCTGCATGGGGCAGTACCAGAGAAGAAGTAAATATAGTGAAAGTTGTGTTTTCTATTTTAAGCACTGCTGGGCTACATATTTTTTTTTTTAATGTGGGTGGCACTTTTAGTTTGGCAGTAGGGTTGGTTTAACTTTATTAACTTTTTTTTCTTGCACATTTAAATAAAAGATTACTCAATCCAAATGATTAAGTCATTTGGATTGATCATTTGAAATTGATCAAAGCATACTCATAACAGTTTCAAAAGCATTAAAAAAAATAAATGTATTACTATGTTTATTTGTTGTAATTGTTTTAAAATACAGTAATACCTACTATTGTTTGTTTGTTCCAAACAAGGGAAACTGCATTAGCACATTGTTATAAAGATAAGTGCATCTATGGTAAATGGATACAGTAACAATGCTGGTGGGTGAAGCCTTTGTTTTGTACTGATTATATACTGTGTGTTCTCTTTTGTGGCTGCTTTTCCACATTTGCCTTTGCCATCAATATTATTGTTCTCAAACCAGAATTGGCACTGTTCCATGTAATGTTTATTTAAGCTAAGCACCAGGCAGATATAAAATACACAAATTCAGGCAATTCTGTATTCAGTAATACATCATTACATGTATTTATTAAAGGAGAACTATGAGGCGAGTGAAAATCACTCGGCCTCATAGTTCTAGCCGACCTGTGACAATGAAACTGTCACAGGTCGGCTCAATAGATCGCGAAGTGAGCGAACACATATCGTCGCTCACTCACTTCTTGATCATCTCCCTGCAGAGACCCATGACTGTCACTCACGGCTCCCTGCAGGGATTCCCCCCCTTCCCTGTCCGATCCTCCAGCGCTGACTGGCGGAACGGACAGGGGCGAGTACAGCTGGCTCTGCCTCTAGATAGGCAGAGCCAGCTGTCACTCACGCAGCTGGGTGGATCCAGACAGTAATGTCGGGATCCGTCCCGCCTGCGGCGTCTCAGTATAGCTACAGCTCGCGGTATACTGAGCTTTGGGTGATGGGAGGATGCTAGTTTGTGTCCTCCCGTTACCCTTAGGAGAACTATGGGGAAAAGCCCTGACCCCATAGTTCCCCTTTAAAATGCAAGCAGGTTAAGTACCTAGATTTGATTTGATAACAGTCTGATGCAGTCCCTGTACAGCAGAACTTAAAATGGGATAGAAAGAAGCAGCACAAAAAGCCAATTAAAAGATAAATAGCACCTTGCACCAAACCCTGTGTAGCTGCAAGCAGTATAAGAAGTGTTACCCTCTAAATGTGTCAAATTATAATATTGAATGTGCTGCGTTTCAACTAGAACAATAAATATATGAACAATTATCTATAATAAAAATAAACAATAAAGGTGATCAGCGCCAGTAAGTGGAATGTGAAAATAAGAGCTACCAAGCACTAAGGATATAACTAAATATCTGGAAAATGTGAAAAACAATATTGTGCCGAGCTAATAATCATACACATCTAAATGAGTCACATATATGAGCCTTCAAACAAATGAGGCATAAGAAATATCTACACACATACAAAAAAGCAATATAGACAAAAAAAAGTCCCAAGGAAAAAACAAACGCAAACAATGGTGATTGTGCAAAAAAAATTCCTCAGATGATTCGCAGCCAATCTGCATATAACTCTCAGGTAAGGATAATCACACAATGCAGGCAGACCTTCACCTCCACCCAGTGAGTGATGACAACAAGTGAGTGCTCACCTGGGGAGGTAGACCCACAGAGCTAGGTCAAATGCGCTTTTTCCCTTCTTAATGGGGGAGGGAAGCCCATGCACAGAAAAGGCGATAAGGTCTCCTCAGATCACAGGTACCAGTATAAATCCAGGTGGAAAGAGAAAAAGGACAAGGACATAGTGTGTGACGTCCAATAAAATGCAATTAAATAAAAATGCGTACTCACAATGGTGTTTTGATGTAACGTACGCAGGGCAGAGCTTCTGATGTCACTGCACTGAGCCGGACGAACAGGTTTTTTTAATCGCTTTGCTGCCATTTGCCCTGCTGGTCTGATCCAGCAATACCCAATGCCTGTACTGTTTACACCATTGTGTACGCATTTTTATTTAATAAATTGCATTTTATTGGACGTTACGCACTATGTCCTTGTCCTTTTTCTCTTTCCACCTGGATTTATACTGGTACCTGTGATCTGAGGAGACCTTATCGCCTTTTTCTGTGCATGGGCTTCCCTCCCCCATTAAGAAGGGAAAAAGCGCATTTGACCTAGCTCTGTAGGTCTACCTCCCCAGGTGAGCACTCACTTGTTATCATCACTCACTTGGTGGAGGTGAAAGTCTGCCTGCATTGTGTGATTATCCTTACCTGAGCGTTATATGCAGATTGGCTGCGAATCATCTGAGGAGTTTTTTTTGCACAATCACCATTGTTTGCTTTTGTTTTTTCCTTGGGACTTTTTATTGTCTATATTGCTTTTTTGTCTTTGTGTAGATATTTTCTATGCCTCATTTGTTTGAAGGCTCATATATGTGACTCATTTATATATGTTTCACTTTATTAGATATGTATGATTATTAGCTCGGCACAATATTGTTTTTCACATTCTCTATAATAAATAAGTGCTGAACAATACATGCAATCAAAGTGTTCACAATTGCTTTTCTTGTAAATATCAATCCTTAATTACAGACTTGGATTGGAGATTGCATGGTCGGCAGCACAGCTCCTGTTTGAGCCATTTTTCCACCCAGAGAATACGGTGACACGGAGAGAGAATTGTCGGGCATACATCTTACTTGAAGTTTTATGTCAACTTTCCTCATGTGAGTAGTTTTTTTTTTAAATAAAGGAGTTTTTTTAATTTTATGGTTTTATGCTATGGGCTGTTTTTATATTTTATTGGATATGGTCGTGATGACATGCTGACGTCATTTTCTGTGCAACGATTGTGGAGAGACAGCCTTTAAATAAGATCGATTGGAGATCCTGGAAAGCAATTTTATACCTGCTTAGGTCTACTTATAAGGTGAGTGCCCCACTGAGAGGGGGAGCACCTGGGTGCTTACAATTGGTGTATGGACCTTGTAAGAACTTTCACAGTGGAAGGATAAAGAGTGTGGTGCACGTGGGACAAATCTTGAGCACTTTATATGTGTGATTCCACTTTTGTGTACATCTGAACACGGAATAGATGATTGAACTTTCCAGAGGGATATTATTTAGGATTGATATTTACAAGAAGAGCAATTGTGAACACTGATTGTATGTATTGTTTAGCACATATTTATTATAGAGATTTGTTGATTTATTTATTGTTCTAGTTAAAGCGCAGCACATTCATCATTATAATTTGACACAAAAAGAAGCATGCTGATGGGACGAACGAACAGAGTGACAGAGATGAGCTTGGCACTGTTCTGCTGTGCACAGTGGGGAATTGTGTTCCCTGTCTATGTATGATGCATTCCATAGGGTGGAGCAGGGTTAGGTTGGGGAACATGGCGGCAAAGATGACTAGAGGACAACAGGCCGATGACTAGAGGACAACAGGCCGTGCATCCTATATCCTAACCCCTCCCCTGTCACGGCAGAGAGCCGTGACAGGATTGTTAGGTGAGCGAACGCCGGTATGTGTTCGCTCGCCTCCCGATCTACTGAGCCGACCTGTGACAGTCTCATTGTCACAGGTCGGCTAGAACTATGAGGTGAGTGAAAAGCACTCCCCTCATAGTTCTCCTTTAAATAGCACCCCATCGCACCTGCTGGCACAACTTAATTTAACTGGAATGTATTGGGGTACTGTGTTGCACTGCAATGCAGGCTGCCTGGAGGTGCACTGGGGTGCCATTCGAATGAATGGCAATACAACACACCTAGGGCAGTTTGTATGTGTTTAGTGCACATTTATAAATGCATAGAATTGATTTTCAATTGTATAAATCAGGGCCCATTCACACAATAGCACTGCATTAAACACATAATCCTGTTTCTTTAGTGTGCACACAGCATCTCACTTAGTGTACGCCAAAGACGCGGTATTATGTGTTCAACACCCTGAAAGATACCATTGGAAATCAATTCCATGCATTTATACATGTGCCCTAAACACATACAAACCGTGCGCTACATTGCCATTCATTTGAATGGAACCCCAACGCACCTCCTAGCGATCTGCGTTGCAGTGCAACACAGTACCACCACACATTGCAATAAAAAAAACCCGCCAGGAGATGCATTGGGGTTCTATTTAAATGAATGTCAACACACCTAGCCACATTTACATGTTCCTCCTTAGGAAATGTACCCTAACCACATACAAATGCAGGTTTAACACTGCCAATGTGAATGAGGCCCTGTGTGACATCTCGGAGAGCTGGGAGGCATGGGAGCCTCAATGGGCCCTACAGCCATCATTCCTAGAGAGTCTCCACACCCTAATAAACAACATAACATATATATATATATATTATGCAGCGTTGTAACTATCCCCGGGTACCAAGAATGCTGGAATTACCATGCATTCCTCATCACAATTCCCGAACTTGCCGTTTGAGAACCGTTAGACTACAGCAGAGCTCTCCCGTCTGTCGCCCCCAGCCATTGTTCTACAGACACCCACGTGCCGCCGGTTCTGATCCATCACTGGGCGTGAGCCGAGGCTGCACCACGTGACACGCTCTGCCGACAGCTTCATTTGCAATCAGCCAATGGCGTGGAGGCTCGACGAATGCATTGGGCTGGGCTCGCTGTATAAATAGGGGGCCGGCGCTCCGTGCCCATTGTTCCTCTTGTGGAGTGTTACAAGCTCGGTGTTGCGGTAGCTGCTAGGTGAGTACCGGGGGATGGCATCCTGATGGGAGTGTTTTGGTTGAGTTTCGATGACATATGTTGTGTTATTGGAGTTCTGTTCATTGCAAGTTAAATCTGGCAGTCCGTTAACTCTATAGACTCTGTTCATAAAGCTCTTACATTAGGCTATTTGCAGCATTAAGACTTATTCAAATCTTATTGGAGCCAGCTGCTGCCGTGCCTTTAAAAATGGGGATCCTTATGTGTGTTAGCTTTGTGCTTTTTGTTTGGTATGTTGAATTAGGCTGCATGTTCCAATCCATGGCAGCCTTATGTAAGATGCTTGGGTTTGCTGCTGGCTTCATTCATTCCCTATGTATGATCTGTGATCCATCCTTGGTGCAGTTGAATGATCAGAGGTGTGGGTGGGTGCTCCCATAGGACTGCATAAAATGAGGATTGTGTGGTAGCAGTGTCTGTCCTGACGGCCCCTCCATCTGCTCCCTTTCACAGATAAGAGCTCGAAGATGGCAGACAAGCCGAACCTTCAAGAGATTGACAGCTTCGACCGGTCAAAGCTGAAGAAAACCGAGACCAACGAGAAGAACACACTGCCTACGAAAGAGAGTGAGTCTCTAGACACACCCTGTTGCATGTTTCCATGTGCTAATGCCTTATCTGCCTTTTATTTCTGTTGGAAATGTACTTTGTGGCTTTTTCTCCAATCTTTCTGTGCTTGTGATCTAATTAAAATTTCATGCCTTTCAGCGATCGCACAAGAAAAACAGAGCTAGAATGTGATCCTGGACCCTCCACATGATTTGATGAAATGTGGCTCGTGCTGGAGATTCAAATGCACTGTGAATGAAGACGTGACCTACCAGTCATATGTTGGATCATGGAATGCCAAAAAAAGGGAATTGTCTGTCTAAACTTGTCTTCCCTCTAAGTATTTGTTGAATGGAATAAACACTTTGTGCAATAAAAGGTCATTTTTGCATTTATTGTATATTAGTAGTGGAGGGGGTACTGATTACTCTAGTGGTACCTTTTTAAAACTGAACTCTAGGATCGGCAGATCTTGCCGTGTGTAACAAACTGTCTCTGTGCAGGAGCTTCCTGTAATAAAGATTGGTCACTGTGCTCTTTCTTTGTGCAGCGTGACTGGTCTTGTATCTGCTCCTCCTAGTCTTCTGCAGGCAGTCTGTAATGGGGCCTGCTGAATCCTTCCTATAGCAATGCAGGTTGTCTAGCACAATTACAAGGTAATATCTGGGTGTGAAAATGCCTTTGGTGCAGAAGTGGCTTTGTGCCCCCTTTTTGTGGTTATTGAGGAATATACCCCTGCCTCAAGTCAGCTGGCTCTGAGAAGCGGGTGAGTATATCTCTTACCTTGACCAAAATGAGCAGTTAACTCTTGCAGTGTGGGGTAGCCCCACTGCAAGGGTTAATGATAGAGGTACCCCAGGGTTCTGCTTCAAAGATGAACTGTGCTGGTATAAAATATGGAGGGCACCATATTTTGAAAAAAATGCTAGTTGCCTGGCTGCTATTATACTGTAATGACCTGGGACAAGGATGTGGGTCAGAGGGTGAATCAGAAGTTCTAGGTTATACTTGTAGGACAGCCAGAGCGGGGAATCCCTGCAGGGAGCTGTGAGTGACGGTCACGGCTCTCTGCAGAGACAGGATCGAGAGTCAGCGAGTGTGTTCGTGTGTGTTCACTTCCTGATCTATTGAGCCGACATGTGACAGTTTCATTGTCACAGGTCGGCTTGAACTACAAGGCTGAGTGATTTTTCACTCTCCTCATAGTTCTCCTTTAGGAAACCGGGCAAATTTTTTGCTTCATGCATGCACTGATCCTAGTAGTAGCATGGCAGCTGTGGGGGTGCTTAGAGGGCAGTTGGGGTTATACCTCTGCTCAGAGATGAGGTTTGGGACTGGTTGGATTGATTTATGGCAGGGGCGGACTGTGCCGGGTGGCAATTACCCCCCCTCCCCCCGGGCCTCTCCGATGCTGTCACGAACGGCCCCCGTGACCACCACTGTCACCTGCACCCGGCCCGCCCGCATCCGATGCAGCTCTGTGATCGGCGGTCGCTGCTCCTCCTCGGGTGGCCCTCTACAGTGCCTGATTAGAGGCCGCGTCTGACCCAGCTGGATCAGGCAGACGCGGCCTCTAATCAGGCATGTTAGAGGGCCGCCCGCTGGGGGCCTGTTGAGCAGCGGCCGCGTTGTCACAGGGGGTCGCTCGCTCCTGTACCTCTGCCATTCGGCAAACACCTTATATTTGTTTCACTGCATGCAAGGCGTACTCAAATTGGACTAGGCTGGTGTCACAATCGCCAGAGCGCTGACTGTATGTAGCACAGACTATTACGCTCGGGCCGCCGCCCACAGAGCTGCATCGGATGTGGCCTGGAGGCAGAGGGAGCCCCCCACTGACCACCAGGCCAAGGTAGGTTGACAAAAATTTTAAAACAAATCCGGGGACATTTTATCCACGGGTACATAAAATAAACTTTTTTTTTTTTTCTTCAATGCCTGATCCCTGGATCCACCAAAAGTTCGGCCTCCCGTCTCCCACGCTGTCAGAAGCTGCATACAGCGTGTGCTGGTTACTAACCGGTGTGTGCAGCTTCTGAGAAGATACGCTATTAGCATAGCGGTAGCGATGCAAAATGCGCAGCCGGCTTCCTCGCTACGCTAATAGCGTATCTTCTCAGAAGCTGCACACAGCGCACCAGTCTAAGTAGTAACCAGCACACGCTGTGTATGCATATTCTGACAGAGTGGGAAATGGGAGGCTGGGCTTGTCGGTGGATCCCGGGATCAGGTGAATATAAAAGAAAAATGGTTTATTTTATGTTCCCGGAGACATAGCGTGTCTGGGGACGATTTCCTCAATTCGGGGACTGTCCCCAGAAATCGGGGATGAATGTAGGGCTGCAACAACTAATCGACTACGGCGATTATAATCGATGATTGAAAAAGTAGTCAACGTTTTCAATCATTGATTAATCAGCTTTTGATTAGTTGGCCCTGTTCACGACTCCACCCACGCCTCACACTTGCTGCTGCTGGACCCACCCACCTGCAGCCACACGCCGGACCTCCTTCCCGCCTCACGCTTGCCGCCACCAGCCCGTATCCACGCTGCACCTCCTCCCCGCCCACATCCACGATCGGCACAGGGACTCGGGGAGAAGAAGTAAGGAGGAGCAGGCGTGAGGGGATGACAGCCGCCGACAGACAGACCCGATCTCAGAAGCAAGTTGCTGGAAGACTGCTCAGGTAAGCCTGCACTTTCCCACACATGGTGCTCTATAATGTATTGCTGGGATTTGTATTCCTCTATAGCTGGTGGTATTCTGCATTGCGCTGTATAGAGGACTACAAATCCCAGCAATAATACATTATAAAGCAGAATACCACCAGCTATATTGTATTATTTCTGGGCTTTGTTGTTCCTCTATAGCTGGTGATATTTTGCATTGTGCTGTATAATGTATTATTGCTGGGATTTGTAGTCCTCTATACAGCGCAATGCAGAATACCACCAGCTATATTGTATTATTTCTGGGATTTGTTGTTCCTCTATAGCTGGTGATATTTTGCATTGTGCTGTATAATGTATTATTGCTGGGATTTGTAATCCTCTATAGCCGGTGCCATTTTGCATTGATTGCCGCATAAGTTTACACTTTCCATTTCACTATATTGCACACCACACTTTTTTATTTTCACTACTCCAAGCTTGCTCCCGTGATGGACTACAATCTCAGTACAAACTAGTAGTCCATCACTGGAGCCATTTTTTAAAATCCGATTAATCGAACTTAATAATCGGCTAACTAATTGATTTTGAAAATAATCGTTAGCTGCAGCTCTAGATTAATGGTCACCCTTTGTAGTTCTCTATAGCCAATGCCATTCTGCAATGCTGTACAATGTATATCTGAGATGTATAGCCCTCTGTAGCTGGTGGTATTATTCTACATTGTTGTTGTGCTCAGATTTGTAGTCCCTCTACAGCTTGGAGTTAGTGGCAGAAGTACCAGGGTCGCAGCAGTCGTACACGCGCACAGCACTGACGAGGCATCCCTCCACTACCAGTGTGCTTTAATTATCCTCAACCGATAAATTTCTGGACCGCGTCACTTCCAGGTGTGCATGTCATGAAGAAAGGGGGTCATGAAAACAGCCGATTCTGATGACGCAGCCCCACTGGAAGTGACACAGTTGAGAAAATGTATAGAATCGAGAAAAATTATAGAACACTGACTTTGAAACTATCCAGCCCCTCCCACTAACCTCCCACAGCTCACAGCCAAGAAGCATGGACAGCCAGCGGCGGTCTACAGTGGGTGAGAGTGCCTAAGTACTGGACGTGGAGTAAGGCCAGAACCATGCAGGGAGCCCAGTGGGAGGAGAGCACCATCCCCTAGCCAGTCGTCCCTTTCATAGACTTACTAGGAGTCCTCTCATCTCCCGACCATTCACACTACCGTTACATGGATGGCAAAAGTGGCAGACGTGCGGGGAGAAAGCGGGGAAAAAGGAGAGCGGGAGGGGGGCCAAGTTGCTGCACCATGGGCCTCTGGGCTAAAAGTTGCCAGTCAGCCCCTGATTTATGGCTGTATATTTCTGTGGGGAATTAAATTAACATTGGGCTTAAAGGAGAACTATGGGGTTGGGGCTTTTCCCCATAGTTCTCCTAAGGGTAACGGGAGGACACAAACTAGCGTCCTCCCGTCACCCTAAGCTCAGTATACCGCAAGCTACAGTTCGTGGTATACTGAGACGCCGCAGCTGAAACGGATCCCGACAATTATGTCTGGATCCGCCCAGCTGTGTGAGTGACAGCTGGCTCTGCCTACGTAGAGGCAGAGCCAGCTGTACCCGCCCCCTTCCCGTCTGTTCCGCCAGCCAGCGCTGGAGAATCGTAGCGGGGAGGGGGGAATCCAGTCCCTCCCCTGTCACGGCTCTGTGCCGTGACGAGATCGAGAAGTGAGCGAACGCCGGTATGTGTTTGCTCACTTCCCGATCTACTGAGCCGACCTGTGACAGTCTCATTGTCACAGGTCGGCTAGAACTATGAGGATGAGTAAAAAGCACTCACCTCATAGTTCTCCTTTTAAGGTGCATAATCTGCTGTTGTGGTATGAGCTTTAAGGCCCCATCACAAAAGGCAAACTTTTTTAAAGCTTTAGTCCTCTTTTGGGTAACACTACTAATGTACTCCTGTGACCCAAAGTCAGGATATAGTGGCCTACTCGGGGGACTTTGGGGGCAGCAGTGTGGCACTGTAACTTTACTGGTGCCTTTAGGAATGGCCTGTCCAAGATAGGTATTTAGTGTATGATTGCTTCTAATGGTGCTTTTTTGGTACACTATTTTTATTTGTTTTATTTAGATGATTTTCATGCAAAGTCCATTTTAATTCATCTTCACTTTTAAGCTCTACAAAACGACCACTTGTGTAGCCATAGCAGCTAATTTGCTCATAAACATTCTGAAATCAGGACTGACTGCCCTGGTGTAAGAATATTCTGCTAGACTATATGGGCAGTAAGCATATCCATAATGGGTATCAAGACAACCTCTGCTCCCAGCTGTACGCCCAGAATGTGGATGTAGATTCCATATTTGGAAATAACAAAGAAGGGCTCAAGATATTTTTGTAACGCAATAAGCATTTGCTCTAGGGTCAAAGTGCAGGCAATTCTATGAAAAAATTACTTACTGTCTTTTTGTGTTCCCTTCTACAGGTGAAACTCGAATAATTAGAATATCGTGCAAAAGTAATTGCAGTAAGTTCTGCAAAAGGGGCCCAAACCAAGTACTGAGTACATATGCATGCTTGTACTTTTCAGAGGTCCGATATTGTTCTATGTACAATCCTTGTTTTATTGATTGCATGTAATAATCTACTTTTTTGAGGTTGTGGATTTGGGGTTCTTGGGGTTTTCATGAGCTGTAAA